CTCCCCTCAGAGATTTCTCCAGTACTTACATAGACTTTCTGGAAAGAACTCAACTAAAATCAATAGCTTCAGGACTAGATTCAGCTGCTTCTTTTAAAATGTTGCCTTGTAGAGTGTAATCCTTACAGAGATGGAACAAACCATAGCACCCGACTAAGCCATGAAAGTGCTTGGGTTTAGTGCACTTTCCTGGTAGTTGATGGAGACTTACAGAATCACTTTGTAAGACTATTTGCTTCTAAAATTTGAATGCTTTGTCAGTGTCTTCATTTGTTTCATTATTTGGACACTTGTTTTGTATTGTTAGGGTTTTTTTCCATTTAAAAATACTATTAGTTTTTCCAAGTTGCAGTCTTCTACATTTTAACTGGGCTTCCTGGGCTGTTATCGGGTTCTTATCATTGCAATTAACCCTTGTAGCAGGCCATCATTACTAATTAGAATTTGCACAGGATCTTTCATGTATTCTACTTGCATATTCAGCTTCACACTCTTAGTTATACCTGTAAAAATGCTGTAGCTTCATTGTGTAGTTGAGTAATGGTTCAAATGGCATTTGTCACAGCCCACACCTCCCTAAAATTTCTACATTATGTTGATAGATAAACCAATATCTTACACTACCCAATAGTCTTAGATTAAGTCAACTTTCAAGTTTGCTAAATATGAAACTGCAAACTGAAAAGCTGAGAAGGAACAGAGTTACTGCTATTCCTTGATGCTTTGCTAATCAACATCTTATTAATTTTAATAATACCAGAAAGTCACACTGGTAAGGGCAACAGTACCTTCATAAAAATGAAACACACCACTCCTTCCTGTTATATTTTGGTTATGTGCCCCATGCAGAGGCAAAAGGCCTGTGCTGGGCAACTGCCCATGTACTGCCTGATCCTTCCTGGCTCCTACCACCTTCATGGGGGTAGGAGTGCAACTCTTACTCACTGTCATTCCGGGGGGGGCTCTTGACATGGTTGTAAATAAATTGCTGCCATCACTTGATTATAAGTAGCATAGTTTAATATTGAGTATGTGTTGAATAATCAACTTACAAGTATATAAATAGTAATGAATTACTAATTTATAAATATTGTCTGATTATTAAACACTTGATAATTAGTTAATAAGCACAGAAAATATTGCATAAGTGTAACATATCAAATTGAAGATGCTGTTTGGCTGCTTTCTGGAAAAGTGCCTTCCTTCCCAGGGGTGGGGGAGCTGGTTCAGTCTTGGGTTTGTCTGTGGTGAGTGAGGGCAACTGGGCCAGTGGCACTGCTCCTACAAATTGCCCATCAGGAACCATGCATGTGCTGGGACACAGTTCTACCCTTGAAAGGAGACAGGGAGAGACCTGCCCAGGATTCCCTGAATCTCTGAGGAAGAAGCTAGGCTGCTTGTGCAGAGGACAATGCTGCTGTCTGCTCTGCTCCTGGCTGGGGGCAGCCCTGCCCATCCTTTAGCTAATTAGAGCTTCTGCTCATTATAGCAGTGTGGGTTTTGGCAAGGTCATAAATCAATCACTGTCCTAGGAATATGAGCTGTCTTAATTGTGCATTGTCTAAATGTGAACTAACTAATGAGTTAATGACTATTCCAGCTGTTGTACACACCTTGAATAAAAAGTTGGACACACAGAAACAGTATGAGACTCCTTCAGACATTGAGTTCAGTATGTTGCAGGCTGGTCTCTCAAACTTTGGGGACCAATATGACCAAACCCCACCTCTGTCAGGGGTCTAAATACCCTGCCCACCTCCTGCCTGCCTGGAACATATCATCTTCTCACCCCTTCCCACCCTCCTGCTCAGAAACAGATTAATCAATCTCAGTTTCTAAGCCCAAACACGCAGGACTTGGTCTCTTCTCCAACCCCACAGCCCAGACCCAGGAACCCTTTTCCCAGCCCCAAGCACACAGGACTTTGTTCTCTTTCAGAGCTCCCAAAACAGCCCCCATGAGCCTGTTTTCAAGTCTGGAAAATTCAAGACTTAGTCTCCATTTTCAAGTACAGAAAACACAGGACTTAGTCTCTGAGTTTGATGACTCTTGGTCTTAAGGCCAAGGAAACGTGTCTTCCTTTGAGGCCCACAGCCCATGACTTGCTCTCCTTCCTTGAAGTCAGATGAACTGGGGTTTTGCATCCCCAAAACTGCCCCTCCGAGGACCCTTGTCTGGAAAACAGGGTTTAGAACAGGTTTGGGTGTCCCAGATTGCTCCAGTTGCTCTAGTTCCAGCCTGCCTGCCACCTACCCCATTCCAAGGGCTGCTCAGATTGTTGGGTGCCACATAATGCCTTTGTATCTGGGAACTGATGTTTCTAAGAACAAAACCAGAATGAAAAAAACCACAACACATTATGATCCATTTCCACATCTCAGGCAGAGCAGAAAGTTCCCTCATGGTCACATATACTGACAGCAGCACTGGATCAGGCACAGAAAGCGTCAGAGCTGCTGTGAGAGCACACAGACATGTTGGGAACTGCAATTTCACTGGAGAACACGTGGCTGGGTGCACAGGACTCTCACAAATAAAATGCTAAGCAAGGGGAAAGATAAAAACAAAGAGAAGCCCATCAGGTTTCTGCACAGGGGTGTGGATGTATGAAGGACACACACTGCTTCTTTAGTTGTGCCTGAAGGACAGACACAAAGCCTCCTACAACTCTTAGCAGGAACAAGTGCCAGGAGAAAAGAGAAGTCTCATGCATGGAAGCCAAGCCTCCAGCCCTAGCCAGTGATAGAGGACTCCAGAAGTGATTGAAGGCTGGCGCCATTCCAAAATGACAGGATGTCACCCAAAAAACCAGGATGTTATCAGCATTGCAGCCTAGTAAATCCTAGGCTGGACAGACCCTTCCTTTCCCTGGAGCTGTTTGAGGGGGGTGTAGGTCTTCAGCAGCCACCAGCTTCTGCTCCCAGTTACTGCCTCCCAGCTGAAGGAAAGGAATAGTTCTTTTGTCATGCCACAGTGTCATGTCTGCCACCTTGCTGCGTTAATGCTTTGTTACTTTGTAGACTGACTGGGATGGGATTTAAACAAAACCCTTCAAATCAAGATCAGAACCTTCCATTCTCATCCCTCCTCCCTGATCCTGGTGGTGAACTAACGCTCTTGACTTTGGAAGATCTCTTCACTGACTGTTTTGGGAAACGAAGATGTTTTGGGAGCTGGCTGTCTCTCTCAGAACTATGCAAGGAATGTGAGGGAAGATATGCCAAAAAGCCAGGGATTTTTGTCCAAACTGGCTGTCTGACTTTGCTCTATTTCTCCCAGAGAGACCACCTGCTCTCAGGCAGCAAAGGGCAGCAGCCCTGTAGGGCCCTTAATTAAGCCCATGCTTACTTAATTAACATTAATTAATTAATTAATTAACATTAATTAATTAATTAACCTGAGCAGGGTCCTCCCACTTCCATTTAAGCTCCAGCTGAGGGGCCCTTCCTCTTTCCCTGGCTGTAGGTAGGTCTTTGTACACCTCAGGTCCTTTCTAAGCTTCGTGTCCTTCCCTGGATGTCTCACTTTCAACACCTTGTACTTGCTTTCTGTGTGCTGGGCCTTTGGCAGAACCTGCTGTTAATTCTTGCTCTGTTCTGCTTCCCCTACTTGGCTGCTGGGGGAGCTGGGCTTCACCTGTGAGGCTGATGTACATGGGGGGCTTATTTCTGCTTGATTTCCCATTGTGGGATTGTTTGGGGCTGGCCTGTAGCTTCAGGTTCAGTTGGAAGTGGTGTAGGAGGCTGTTGTCAGGTTGTAGCTGTGCACCCTAAAACTTACAACCCCTTCCTTAGCAGATGCCACTCTACTCAGGTGTCTGGTGCTGGTTTCTGAGTCTTCTGGTGTTATAGGGTGATACCTCTCTCCACCCTGATACCCTGCCACAGCTTGGGGATCAGCACCTCCAAGAGCAGCTAAGTGGCTCCTGGAGCTGCCTCTGACCTTTCTCCTGCCTTCTGCACCCCTGGGGAGAAATTGTTTGTGATCAGTCCAGCTCCCCTGATAGGACTGCTGGGGCCTCTGACCTGGAACTTGTTGGCCACGTCCTGACAGTGGGCAGGTGGCTGCCTTGAATACAAGGTGGCCCTGACCAACCTGATTTCCAGGACACTGCCCACAGGAGGGAAGTGAGAAGAGACAAAATGCTTGGCTAGTTCCATATACCTATCTTGTTAATCCTCTGTCTTTCCACTCACCTCAGGAGGGGTCACTGAGAGCAACCAGTCCTGAATCCTGGGGGTCCCTGGGATTCACCCCCAGACCTCTCCCTGTGGTGGTGAGCAGCCAGTGGCTGAGGGCACCAGCAAGCCTTAACTGCCCTGAGCAGTCTTGCCTGGTACCTCTCTGGGATTCCCCTCTGGGGTGGGGAAGTTGGTCCAGACAGTGGCAGGATTTGACAAGGGCTTGGGTATGCTGTGCTGTGGAGAGCGTGGATGGCTGCCCTGGGATCTGTGGAAGTCAACCTTGGCTGTTTCAGCTCTGAGACTCAGTTCTAGTCTGTAACAGGCCTTAAGGGCTCTTTCCTCCATTGAGTTAAGCAGCCAGTTTCAGGAGCTGACCTGTGCTGTATGAACTTGTGAACCTGATGTTTTTTTGGATTAATATATACTTGCTTGTGTATCCTGCCTGTGCAAGTCTTGTGTAACAACAGTGCTCTGAAATTGTGTGGTCCATCATCTCCACTTGCTCACGGGGCATCACTGATATTCATGAACTCACTCTGTATTGTTGTCAGAGTGCAAGTTTTGCAAATAAGCAAGCATGAAGGGAAAAGCATCTAAATCCTTTAGCTGCACAAAATATAAAGCCCCTGTACATACAGTAAAGAGGTTGTGCCTTCTGTGATCCTCTAACTGGCCAAACCAACAGTCCCTTTGTGCTTCTGATGACTTGGAGCAGGACTCATGTTGCCTATCCTTCCTCTGATTTCTCTCCAGATGGTGAAGACTTCCTCCCACCAAGAACAGGTCACAACCTTCATGACCACTGTCCTGCATAATGTTGTGTGCTAGACTAATAGGTGTGTGAGGCCTGGACAATCACCTTGCTGGTGGCACACAGAAGTGAAATACTGCAGGAGGTAAGAGGCCTTTTTTTTTTCTCTTTTGGATTTTTTTTCCTTCTTGCTGATGAAGAGCTTTTACTGACATAGGACAGCCTGGCCACTGTTGTCAAGGGACTCTGCCTGTCAATTTGCGGGTAACTTGCTTTAGTGAAACTATTCCTCTGATCTCAGGTGTGTTAAGCTGACAAGATAATGGAAATTAGCCTTATTTGGCCAGTGGTCCAGGATAAAAATTCTTCTTTTGGAAACTACTACTGCAATTTCTAGCATGGAGAATCTTGCAATAGGAGCAGCTGGGACTTTTTGTAACAGTGGCCAAGTTTGGAAAGGTTTGCATGGCTCAACCAGCCACTGAGGTGACAACTAGAGTGTGTGTGACTCCATCATCAGCTGGGGATGAGCCTTTACCAGCATTCAGTGCTCATGTCTCTGCCTGTTTTTTTCACTGTCCTAGAACCTTATCTGAGGAGAAAGTAAGAGCATATTTTTAAAAAAAGTCCTTTCCCTCTCCTTTTACCAAGGCTTTGGAATAGTGTAGCTGCTGAAGCTTTGGGGCAGTGAAACTTCGAAAGGTGCAACCTAACTGGGGTCCAAAAGCTGTGTTGCTTATTACAGAATTAAGACAGGACATGTGTTTTAAATAACACAAATACAGAACTTTTTACATCATCAAAGCTTATGTTTGATTATGAAGATAAAATCACTTCAACTTACAAATAGCTGCCATAACTTTTATTGGAGAATTTAATATCAAACAAAGGCTCTTGAAAAACCTTTAAGATGACTTGTAACGAAAACCAAAATTGCAGTTTTATTATTGAAAATAACTTGATTGGTTAAGATGTCTATTTCTTGCTTGACTTCCCACCTGCCACTTTGTCCTTAAATAAAACCTGAATGACAGTCCTCCTTCCAAGAAGAAGTCTTTCCACCTTTAAGACCAAAAGGTGCAAGTAGCATTTAAGTATGTATTTATGAAGGTAGTGCTTAGCGTGAGCTGTGTTTTTAGAGTTTTTTGAAACAAGAATGGGAAGTACATTGTCTTATTTGCTAGACATTAGTCTTGCACGTTTGAAATCCAAAACAAGTTAGTACTTTTTGAAGCTGTTTTGTTAACTGGAAAGGAACATGGTTGGAAGAATCAACTACTGTGTACGTATTAAGACAGGAGAGTTCTTGCTTTAAGCCAGGCCAGTTTTCTACCTGCGTTGCTGAGAGCTGTTGTGTGAAACACAGCTTGGGTAGGCACTGGTCAGAGTGAGAGTGCTAAATCCTGCAAAGTTTTGCAGGTGTTTGTGTCGTTTGCTTGTGCTAACGACTGAACTTGAATCCAGGATGTGTTGCTGCCAAAGTCTGCAGAGGCATTCGTTGCATTGTCCTTCCTGTGAGTGAGAAATAGTGTCATGCTGAAGATCTGGACCGACATGACCAGTAGGTTGGTAAAGGAGTAGCTATAGAGACAAAAGGAAGAAATGCTACTACCTATGCTTTTCAGCATTAATAACATCCTGATCCAGTGATCTCTCATACATACCTGGAAGTAAAGTGCTAAATTCCCACACTATCCTGGATATGTCAGAGTGAAGGGGCATCCAGGATGCAGGTACAGAAGAGGTGAACAGGAATGTGCTTGATGTTATGCTGGCCACAGGTTTCCTGGCTGCCTGGACTGCCTGCAGAATACTTTCTTGTCTACAGAAGTGCAATATTAAGCTTTGAGTGGACAACTGATAATTTAGAGGGTAATTTATAGTGTTTTCACATCCCCTTATATAAAATGTCTTGTTTATTTTCCTGATTATTCATTTCAACTGTACATATGATTAAAAATAATGAATGTTATTAATTTTTATCATTAGTACTATCATTACGCCTACTCATATCCTTTGATATTATTGCAAAAATTATCTTTAATAGTTTTAATAGGAGCTATTCCCCATGCTAATGAGAATATAAATCAAAGTATTAAACAAGGTAGAAAGGAAAGTTTTGAACTGTATTCTGAAACTGAATCCCCTCTGCTCAGTAGGTACCTTGAGGTTTTGCTCAGAAGAATATTTATGTATGTCTCATCCATGTTCTTGCACAAGGGAGTTTAACAACTTGACTGGCATCACTCAAACTGTCTGTGGCAGTAGGAAGACAAATTCAAAAAGGCAGGAGAAAGAGCAGCTAGGCTATTAGTGAGCTCTATTCTTGCATAGGTCAGGAGGTTTTATTTCACTGGCTGCAACAAGGGGAGGTAGGCTGAGTACTCTGGGGGAATCCCAACTGAAGGACTTGAGCATGAAGTATGGGCAAGAAGCCTGAGCTCTGGTATTGAGTAGATATCAGTCACTGAATTCCATAGGAGCATGCAACAGGATTCCCTGTTTAATTACCAGCATTCCATCTGTTAAAGTTGAGACATAGCAAAAAGGAATAAATAACCCCTCTGGTAATCTTCCAAAGGATGTCTTCTAAACATGATAAACTATCTCTGCCCTCTTGTTGTCCTCTGTTGCTTTGCTGTTTGTAACGGAGCAAAGCCTAGCAAGGATGTGGTGCTGGCAAGGGATCAGAAAGTCAGGCTGGCTTCCTGTGCTTTTTTGTTTTATTGGGTGTTTCACCCAATAGCAGTTAAAATGCCATTAATTTTTGCAAGGCTTTTTTTTATTATTTTTGCAGTAAATATTGAACTAGATCTCACTTCATACAGCACAACGCTCTTGCCAATATGAGCAAAAGCAATATAGCAGAAAATACTTTGGCATGTTTTCTGTGTTCCTAAAATTTCCTGTTCAGAGTTGAGTTCCCTGCTCTAAGAGGATTGCAGACTGTTTGCTATGGAGTCTGCTAATGAAAGGTTTTCAGATACTCAGTTAAAGCTAATTGTTGCTAGGCTTGTCACAATTTTTGAGGCCAAGGACGTTGCTGCTCTGCATGGGGGAATCTGTTATTGCCAAGAATGAAGCTGCTAGAAAACAAAAGTCAAGAAGTGCAAAGAAAACAGCTTTGTGCACCTAACCTATTGCTAGCCGAACACTGTGAGAAACTGTGGGCTTTACAACTGGATTATGCTGGATGCATCTCTGAGGTTTTGGCTTTCTTTCTCCTCATTCCATGATGAACCTCTGTCTTGGGAGAACAGCAGTGATGTAGCTGATAACTCTATAATGGTTTTGTTTCTATATATGGGGTGGAAAGTAAGACCTGTTGAGAAACTCCTCACATGATGAAAATAGGACAACAAATGAAGCTGTTGAGGGGAGAGTTTAAAAATATTTTTCCTTGCAGAAATTAATTAACCTGTGGATCTCACTACTAGAGAATGCTCTGGAGACTATTAGTAAAACTTCAGAAAGTTTTAGTCAAGTTAATGAACATGTTTAATATCTCTGAATGCAGTTAATGCTCTGGATAAAACCTCTCAAGGGAAGACTCATCTCTTACCTGTCGAAGTGAAAAGATGTTGCAGAGTAAAAATTTGTATTGATCCTTACTCTAAATAACTACTAGGTAGAAGACATCAGCTAGCTGGACTTCAGTCTAATCCAGAACACATCCTCATAGCTTCCTGTTCCTAGACTTTGAGGACAGCTGGTTCCTCAGCAATATAGAAGATAGCCTGAGCCTGGTGAATTGGAGCTGCATTCTATATAGAACTGGTACCAGCAGTGCTGGGAGGCAAGAGACTCTTGCAGGGAGGGTGACCAGAGCTAAGTGACTTGGCCAAGGTCATTTTGGAAGCCAGCACCAGTCAATCTGAACCTGGGTCAGTGGTGCCCTGAGGCAACATGGGAAGTGCCCCTCGGTCCTTTCAGTCCGCAACCCCCTCTATTGGTCCATGCATGGTAAGTGCTCCCCTTACAGCGGTATAAGTCACATCGGGGGATAAATGCCTTCAAATCTATGGCTTCAATAATAGCCTGTAATGGAGACCAGCTTCAAAAACTTCTTTTTAATGTTAGACAACACTTCTGCATTAGTAGTGCTTTTTTGCAAGAGGAAATGAAAACTATACAAGCAAATGGGGAGAATTACAGATGCATTTTCTCCTCGCCCTTAGTGAATGAGGTCTTTGGTGTCAGTCATCTTTCAAACTAGTTGATCGTATATAATCATGTGTCTATCTGGGAGCATCTCTGGTTTGAATAGCAACAGCTCCCTCTGTCTGCCTCGAGTAAATGGTGGGCTGTTGCACATCAACAGATGATGCCATTTTCTTGTTTCCTGCCCAGTGAAATTCACTCTTTCTGGGTATGTTTGCAGCTTAAATGGATTAAGTTTGAGAAGGTTTTAGATTTTCTTTGTATATTTTTAGGAGTGGCTGTAAACTTTTTGCTGTTACTTCCACTTCCAGTTTATGAATGGAATACTTGTTTAAAAAAAAGGGAGGTGTGGGGGTGTGGAGGGGTTACAGCTTGCATTAGCGCAAGAGACTATTTTCTGTTCAAAGGGAGCTTTGAACAACCCGTGAATTACTGTCACATTGAATGTGTCTCTGGAGATTTGAAAGTTTTATACCCTCTTCCAAAGTGCCGCTATTGTCTGTGTAACAAATGTGAGCTGAACTGTTCTGTTAAAAGTAAGTCATGCACACTTAAGAACATAATAGTAGTTCAGCGTTAACAATGCTGCTACATTCATTTCAGCAAACTGTTACTGTAGTACAACTGAAGCTCTAGCAAACCATTTACCTTGTGATGAAGAGCCAGCATGCGATTAAAGGCATACTATTAACATTTCCTAGCTCTCTTCTCACTCTGACATTTGTCCTGTATTAGGTTTTTTGATCACAATCTCAGCAGAAGACTTTACCACGCATAGCAAGCACTTGAAGTTTTCACAAAGCTGCCTATAAAGGATACATCGTATCTCATCTGGTATTTGCTGCAATAGGTAAAGGAGAAACAATAACCTGGCTGAACTTTGTTTTGTATTAAAATATTTTGCCCAAGAATTTGCTGCCATTGTTAGGTTTTTTCAACATATGAAAATAGCTAGGGCTCCATCTTCAAAGTACAACATAGATG